CATTGCTTGCTTCATGCTTCACTGTTTGAGCAACATTTGCAAACCCCATAATAAAATGTAAAGTATGATGATGTGTAACATTTTATTATCTGCTACGTATCTGCAAGTCTGCATCTTTTATCTCCTCCTGAGATTGAATACCAAGCATTAGAAGCCCATGAAGCTTCTCAGTACATTCATAACAGCCTCAAAAGGAAACCAGCGAGAGACAGTCGAGCAAACGAGAACCAGCAGACACAACTTTGAAAGCAGCAGATGTAACACTGATTGAAAAAAAAGCACAGCGGAGATGTGTAGTGTCATTGGCTCATGGCGTGCCTCTGAACGGCCAGTATCTTCCCCATCTGGAGTACATTTAGCTGGATGGCATGCCGATCCGCCCTCTGTGCACTTTTAGCCCTGTTATCAAACACTCAGACGATTCAAGAGTTCACAACCTCACTGGAGCTGCACACCTCAGCAGACTGAGTTTGAAATGTAGACATTGGTTGCTGCTAAATGGTGTTCATTTTGATATTGTGGGTCAACATGTATAGAGTATGTTTTTATGACCCGTTGACCATATTGGAGGCACAGAGCTTAAACAAAACCGAATGAAACTCATATTTCATATTTTTCTGATTATTATGGCTAAAAATGACCAGGTATTCTTATGTTTTGGCTGTACTAATCAGTTAGAAATGGCAAACAAATTGCTATAAGTTATAATACATCAGGCAGAAACACCAAAGACGATTCAAGAGTTCACAACCTTTCTCAACTCAGCTGACTGGGTTTGAAATGTAGACATTGGTTGCGGCTGAATGGTAATAATTTCGATACTGTGCATCAACTTGTATGGGTGTTTTCAAGATGCATTATTAGTCTGCCATATTGGAGGCGCAGAACTTAAATAAAACCACTGAACTGAATAAAACCTGCATATTTTGCCGATTGTTGCTGCTGGAAATGACCATTTTTTTTTGTCAATTTTTGGGCTGTACTAATCTGTTACCGTACGTTGACACATCTCGTATTTAAAGGAGCCGTTGCAGCATATCAGTTACATTCCTGCATAAAACATGTTTCTAGCATGAAAATCTTGCACACTTCTTATCAAATTCATATAACAATGGAAGATCAAGTTGTGTGTGGTGTGGCTTTGCTCTATTTATCCAATGACCATATGTCTGAAATATCCTGAAGCAGCAGTAATGTTTTGTACTGTCACGTCGTGTGGGATTTCCACTTTTTTAAGATAAATATTTATAACATTAATGCACATCAGTAACTTGCCAGTAACTTATTTAACGCATGTCCATGTACGAAAACATTGTAAATAATTGGAAATCTGGCGACCACAATCATCAAACCCTTGGGAACAACTGTGGTCGGAACCAAAGTTCACAGGTCTGTGTTCAAGCGGTGGACGTCTTCATTCTGATTGGTTGCCGCCGAACCACGTCATAGCTCATTACCATAAAGTTGACATGATTTCAACTCTCCTCGACGCCCACGCCGGAGAAGACGCGCCACGCTGCTCCTCGCCGCTTATTGCCGTGGGCTCTCATTGAAAATGAATGACTTCCGGCTGCTTTGACGCTCTCGCCGCTTTCGGTGTGACCGTACAGTTAGACTGAAAAAAAACGTGTAGTTTTTCTACGGGTTTTCTCCGGGTGCTCCGGTTTCCCCCACAAGTCCAAAGACATGCGGTACAGGTGAATTGAGTTAGCTAAAATTGTCCGTTGTGTGAGTGTGTATGAATGTTTCCCAGTGATGTGTTTCTGCTGGAAGGGCATCTGCTGCGTAAAACATATGCTGGATAAGTTGGCGGTTCGTTCCGCTGTGGCGACCCCAGATTAACAAAGGGACTAAGCCGAAAAATGAATATTAATAGAAATAATAAGAAAATTAATTCCTTACATTTATATAGCGCTTTTCTGGAATCTCCTCATTCACCACCAGTTTGCAGCATCCACCTGGCATATTGCGCGAGAGGAGACAGAAGGTGTGTTCCAAATCGCATACTTATGCACTATTCTTTGCCATTTTGTAGTTTAAATAGTGCAAGTAGTGTTTTCACACTGAAAACTCCAAAAATAATAAGTGCACTTTAATTACCCGGATGATGCACTCATTCAGCCGGTAAAATGAAGTGTGTAATGATGGCCACTTCACGCACTCAACAACCGCAGTTTTGCTCACGTAGCGGAAGGGGCGGAGCTATCGGGCGCACATGTGGGATAACTTTTTTTGATGGTGAAAGCAAAATTCTCCTACAAGAGTGATTATAGCGCCTCCTGATGGTGAATGCGGTTATAATCATGGAAGGTATTATTTGATAGTTTGGTCATTTATTTCACCGATTTGGTAACCGTCAAACCTCATCAGGGAAACGGTTTGAGTTTCCACCAAAAATACATTAGTGCTCCATTTGGGACGACACTACATATAAATATACTATGCTGTTGAGTGTGTTAGTGCATAAGTACACAGTGCAAGAGTTCATAGTGTATAGTGTGCCATTTGGGATGCAGCTAGAGTGATGAAGCCAATTATGAAATGGGAGGCCATGATGGACAAAGGCCAAAATTCGAAGGACATCCTAGGATTTTTAATGACCACAGGGAGTCAGGACCTCAGTTACATTCAAAAGACGTTGCTAACCGAGCAGTATGAGTCCCCTTTACTATCGGGTGTTAGGACCCACACGGCCAGTAGCTTCAGTGGGCGACCATGTGAGAGTTGCTGAGCTGCCAGCAAGATACACAAAAGCAGGTGTGATTTACACACTTTTGACACACTTTGTCTCACTATTAAATGTACTCTTAACCACATTAGTCTGCTATCAGTGGATCAATGGAGCCTCCATTACTGGCTCTGAAATGATGTTGTGTATTGTCAAATACACTATGACGGGGTGCCCAAACTTGGTCTTGGAGGACTGGTGTCCTGCATATTTTAGTTCCAACCTCCATTAAACAAACCTGAAACAGCCAATTTAAGGATTATATATATATATATATTTGAAACTTCTAGGCAGCCGTCTTAGAGGACGTTAGAGCTAATCTATGCAGGACACCGGCCCTCCAGGGCTGAGTTTGGGCACCCTTGCACTATGACAATAGCTATAGGAGTTTTTAAGGGGACCTATTATGCAAGAATTACTTTTATAAAGGGTTGTGTGGTAACAGTGTGGGAATATAACCAGCTTCTAATGGGAAAAAAAATCTTTTTTTTTTATAATCCTACTTGATAAAACCAGTCTGCAGAAACACTTTGATTTACATTCTCTCTTTGTTCGTGTCATCAGAGAGGGAAAGCCCCGCTCATAATTGATGTTCTCTCCCTCACTAGCTTAGGACGTTAGTCTTGTTTTTGAATCTGCCACTATGCTGACATATAGGCATTTGTACGTGTCATCAGAGAGGGAAAGCCCTGCCCACTAGTGATGATCTCTCCCTTATAAGCATAGGACGTTAATCTTGTTTTTGAATCTGCCACTATGCTGACACATAGGGATCCACCCTCATAAAAAGAGCACAATCTCATTTTAATTTAAAGCATTTTAATTTAAAGTCACCAAAACGGCACAATTAGGATCAAAGCCTAAAAGGGGCAGTTTCAAAGAGTTTTAAAGCCCCACCCATTAGTGATGGTCTTTCCCTCATTAGCATAGGACGCTAATCTTGTTTTTGAATCTGCCACTATGCAGACACACAGGCATTTGTATGTGTCATCATAGGCGGAAAGCCCTGCCCATTAGTGATGATCTCTCCTTCATTAGCTTAGGATGTTAGTCTTGTTTTTGAATTTGCCACTATGCTGATGTAACACCGCCGGTCCGACGTCACCCAACCCGCTGCGAGCTGGTATCGAACCAGCGACCTTCTGCATTGGAGTCGGTTTCTCTAACAAGGAGGCTAAAAACCATGGCCTCTAGCATCTGTCGCTAGAGCACATTTAGAGGTCAGATGAGTGAGGTTTACCTGCACAGCACACACTAGCTGGCCTCCGTTACACTCACCCCCTAAACCTCACTCCCATCTGGGTCACAGCACCAATGTAACCCCGTCGATTCTACGCCAATCAACCCGCTCCAACCTGGTATCGAACCGGCGACCTTCTGTATGGGAGTTGGTTGCTCTAACAAGGAGGCTAAAGATCACGGCCTCTAGCATCTGTCGCTAGAGCACATTTAGAGGTCAGAGGAGTGAGGTTTACCTGAACAGCTCACACTAGCTGGCCTCCGTTACACTGACACATAGGGATCCACTCTCATGAAAAGAGCACAATCTCATTTTAATTTAAAGCGACAGTCACCAAAACGGCACATTTAGGATCAAAGCCTAAAAGGGGCAGTTTCAAAGAGTTTTAAAACATTATTTCTCGGCTATTTTGAGCTGAAACATTACATACACACTCTAGAGACATCAAAAACTTATTTTACATCTTGTAAAAAAAGGCATAATAGGTCCCCTTTAACCATTAAGAAGGCATGCAGCAACTTCTATGTCTATGTGTGTAAAAATACATTTTAAACTGAGTGTATTGTAATGCAGGTATGCATGCAATGTGGTTAAATGCAATGGAATAGGCCCATGAAAAACACTGAAAGTTTGCAGTCACAAGTTACTCTTTATATAGCTTTAATTAATAATACCCTCTAAATTATACGATAAAATAAACACGTCGATCTCAGAACGTTGGTGAACGATCCAGAGAGCCACAATTGCAATCTGTATTCCACAGCGAATGGGAAAATAAATCAAATATGGTGGGATGAAATAGTTTGGCTAGGGATTATGGTTTGACAGAAGGGTCAAAAGTTGAGTTCTGCCTCAGATATGCTACATTAAAGCCGGTTCTACACGTAAAATGAGCTCCGCAGCTGGAGTGTGCATTGGGCAGCTGTTGGTGGATCAGGTGATGTGGGCAGGCTGAGCATCAGGCACAGAGAGGCTGGATCTCCTTTACAGACAGTCGGTTTCATGCAGATGTTACAGAACCTGCTCCTTGTCCAGATGCATTGGCAACTTTTGGCTCTACTCTCCCTGTTTTGTCAGATGCTCCTATTGACGTTAGCTGTGAGGAAAAGAAGAGGTGAGACATGTTTTTATTCGCTTGTCATTTGTGTTTCACCTCTGCTCACGAAAACTTGTTTATGCTGGTTTTCACTGACTTTTTAAATATTTTTTTTTATCTTATTTCTAGTCCAAATATCTAAAAATCAAGAAGCATTTACTAGACAAGCAAAAAATATTGCCTTGTTTTAAGAAATGCCAAAAGGGCATCACGGTGCTGCAGTGGGTTGCACAATCGCCTCGCAGCAAGAAGGTTGCTGGTTTGAGCCTCGACTGGGTCAGTTGTCATTTTTGTGTGGAGTTTGCATGTTCTCCCTGTGTTCGAATGGGTTTTCTCCAGGGCTCCGGATTCCCCCACAAGTCTAAAGAGATGCACTATTGCTGATTTGGGTTTGCTAAATTGTCTGTTGACAAAGCTGAAAGGGCTGAGTAAAACATGTACTAGATAAGTTGGTGGTTTCTTCCGCTCTGGTGACCCCTGATTAATAAAGGGACTAAGCCAAAAAGAAAATGAATGAATATGCCAAAATTGAGTGAGTTTTTCTTTAAAACGAGCAAAATTATCTACTTATGGGGTAAGCAAAATAATCTTGTTTTTTGGTTGGACATAACATAATATTGCTTTCACCATTGGCAGATTATTTTGGTTGTTTTATAGAAAACTTGCTCAAATTTGGCGTATTTTTTCTCAAAACTACTAGAAAAAAAGACAGAAAATCTAAGTAATAAAATAATTTTTTATCTGTTGCAGTACCTTGAAGAACTTTTGGTTTTTTAGTGGGCACCCATACCAAAACATTACATATTACGTACAAACATGTATCTCTGATTCTTAAATGTGATTAAATAACATTTGTTTCACTAGCTGGATATCAAATGTTCTGTAAATTAGGCTTTAAACTACATTGTGAGAAATTCAGGGTTCCGCATAATTCATATATGTTGTTCACTGGTTTTGACAAGTTTAAGTGGATTAAACATGAAACAATTAAGTTGTCCCCCCAAAAATCTCAAGAATTGTGTTGCTTAAAAAACGTATTTTGAACAAGCAGCAAAATAATTTTTGGGGTGTACGTTAACTGTTAAACAGTAGTTTATTAACATTTTTTATGTAATAAATAATGGAGTTTGTTTCACATGGGTTGCGGCTGGAAGGGCATGCGCTGTGTAAAAACGTGCTGAATAAGTTGGCGGTTCATTCCGCTGTGGCAACCTCAGATTACTAAAGGGACTAAGCCGAAAAGAAAATGAATGAATAATGCAGTTTGTCGAATATTGGGATTTTGTGCATTTAATGGCAGTTATTACATGTAATGTAAACGCACACTAGACAGACGTTCATAACAGTTATGTTTAAGCACAGGAGTCCATGAGTAGTTAAGGAAGAGTTAATGATAATGTGCCCCTCCAAGTAAAGTCATGACATAAAGAAACATTAATATTTAACATTTAATTAAATTAAAATTAACATTTAATTTAAGAACATTTAGTAGATTGAGTTTGTGTTAGTTACTTTTAACTAAAACTAAAGTGTTAATTAAACGTTAATTAGCAAACACGTACTAACAAGTAATTAAGGTAGCCGTTATTTACACTTGAACTTATGTTGTAGATAAAGTGAGTTCATGATTAGCGCATGCCTTTACTCATCATTAGTTCAACGTTTAATTGACATATTAGTACATCACCATTCATTATTGTAAAATGAGATGGTTAAAGGTATAAATGTATTGAAAATTAATTAAAATTCTAAAAGTCTTGCTAAAAGTAATTTTTATTGTAACAAAATATTCACTTGCACCAACTCACTTTTCTCAATTCAATACCCTTTTCATTCTCAACCATCAGAAAGCACTTTTACTCATCTTGAGCATACTAGAAGAATCTGTCCTTCATTTCTTAACTTCTATTTCCTCCCATGTTTTCTCAATTTCGTTTGACTGACATCCATGCACGAAATAGAGAAGTATATATATTGATGAGAAAGAGGAGGATGCATCTCGGTTTGGCTCTCGGTGTCTTTTTAGACAGTGGTGTCCCTCTTTATTTGCCAATGAAGGATATGAAGATATGAACCATCTGCTATTCCTTCACATCTCCCCCCTGCAAATGCTCTCCAGTGGCTCAATATGTGACACAACACACGCAGACTGATGTCTTCAGTCTCTGGCTTTGGCCGTATTTCGGATGTAAACATGCATGCAGTCTGTACTTTAAGAACACATTTTGTACAAAGGAAAAGAGACACTAAGAGTGTAGACAGTTATTCAGCAGATGCTTTTAGACAACTGGTTTGCTATAACCTCTATACCATGCAGCAGACCAGGGTTCAGCTCCTCATAGGCACAATATTTCTTAATTTATAGACATCGAAGCAGTTTACTGGCTTTAACCTTTGATTTGGTCACAAAGTTGCTGTTTCATGTTCCCTGTAGTTTTAGCTAAACTGTTAAACTAAAGAAAGTTTTAGCAGTAGGACAAAACAAATGTGGAATTTGAAATTTGAAAAAGTATATATGGTAAAATTGGTTTAAAAATGTTTGTGCTCACCAAGGTTGCCTTTATTTGAATATAAATAGCGCAAGAATGAAACATAAATTAGTTATGCAAAAATATATACTAACTGGTCACTTTTTTTTGCAGATTTCTAATCAGCCAATCACAAGGCAGCAATTTAAAGGTTTTATGCGAAGGTCTAAGCAAAGGACTAGAATGGTGACAGGTGCAATGGTGTAATATCGACAAGACAAAACAAAACACAGGACTGCCAGAAATGGTGACAGGTGCAATAGTGCAAGCAAAGCAAAACAAACTATGACTACAAAAAACGATGACAAGTGCAAACAAAACAAAACAAAACAAAACAAAACACAGGACTACCAGAAATGGTGACAGGTGCAAATAAAACAAGACAAAACAAACTAATGACAACAAGAAATGGTCACAGGTGCAAACAAAACAAGACAAAACAAAACAAAACAAACTAATGACTACCAGACATGGTGACAGGTGCAAACAAAACAAGACAAAACAAAACAAACTAATGACTACCAGAAATGGTGTCAGGTGCAAATAAAACAAGACAAAACAAAACAAACTAATGACTACCAGAAATGGTCACAGGTGCAAACAAAACAAGACAAAACAAAACACAGGACTAGCAGAAATGGTGACAGGTGCAAATAAAACAAGACAAAACAAACTAATGACTACAAGAAGTAGTCACAGGTGCAAACAAAACAAGACAATACAAAACACAGGACTATCTGAGACAGGTACAAACAAAACAAAACAAGACAAAACAAACAAAACAAAACAAAACACAGGACTATCAGAAATGGTGACAGGTGCAAACAAAAAAAACAAGACATAACAAGAAAAAAAAACACAGGACTACCAGAAAAAGGGACAGGTGCAATGGTGCAAAAAAAAAAAAAAATTAATGACTACAAAAAAAAACAAAAAAAAAATGGTGACAGGTGCAAACAAAACAAAACAAAACAAAACAACAAAACACTAATGACTACATGAAATGGTGACAGGTGCAAACAAGACAAAACAAACAAACAAACAAAAAACTACTGACTACAAGAAATGGTGACAGGTGCAAAAACAACAAAACAAACTAATGACACCAAGAAATGGTGACAGGTGCGAACAAAACAAAACAAACTAATGACTACAAGAAATAGTAAAAGGTGCAAACAAAGAAACAACACAAGACAAAACACAGGACGACCAGAAATAGGGACAGGTGCAATAGTGCAAACAAAACAAAACAAACAAAACTAATGACTACAAGAAATAGTGACAGGTGCAAACAAAACAAGACACGACCAGAAATGATGACGTGTGCAATAGTGTAATATCAGTATTTTCTTGGCACATTTTATGCCCCTTACTAGTGATGTGAATCATCAACTGTACATTGAACTAATACAAAGGCATTTATATTGATTATAATTTTCAAGAAAAAGTGCAGACATGGCAAGTATTATTATTAGTCTATCTTGACAGAAACAGAAGACAGGTGCCAAAATAAAGCTGAGCCCTTTTCAAACACCCAAGAGATGACATATATGCTTATGGCATTTCAAATATCATGTCAAAGCCCCAAATGTCAGTGCAGATGGTATAATGTGACAGAGGATGTCACCTTTCATCTAAAGCCTCCAAATTATTGAATGCACTTCCTTTTACTATCTGGAATGCACTAACTTTGGATCTCTTAAAAAATTAATTAAGATACATTTATTGAGGCATGTTATTAACCGATGATGATTTTGTACTGTTTATTTTTATGTTTAGTTTTTTTACTGTATTGCTTTGGTTTTAAGAAAAGTGCATTACTACTAAAATGCATAATTATTATTGCTGCATACAAATCTAGCATGTTCTCTTGCAGTGTTTGCTGATGATGTTGTGTTGTTGCTGTTGTGTCAGAGAGCTGGCGTCAGGACTGCAGGAGCTGTGTGCTGTGCTCTAGAGAGAATGGCTGTCTGCGCTGCTCCGAGCGTCTCTTCCTCTTCCTGCGCAGAGATGGCATCCTTCACCATGGATCCTGTCTGCACTCTTGTCCTGCCGGACACTTCGGCCTCAGAGGAAAAGAGCTCAACCGCTGCATGAGTGAGAACATCCTTCTCATAACGTAAAGAATATCTGTAAATTAGTAGCTTTCCATATTTTGTGATTTATGTTTTTATTTTAGATTTATCGATGCTTTTGAATTGCATTATGGGAGCTTGATCTTTCTTTCAACAACTTTTAACCTTGAAAAGTTTGAAAAAAGTGACTTTTATTGACAATTTTAATAGTTTAATGTGATATATGGTTGGGGTTGGTGTTGTATATTACGCTAAAAAAACCTTGTAATAAACTGCAAGTACATTTTCTGTTATTTTTCAGACTTTATATCTTAATTCTTCTACATTGTATTATTTTAAACTACTAAAATGTCAACAAAAGTCACTTTGTTAAACTGCAGAGTTGAATTTTCAATATCAAAAGTCAACAAAGCAGAGATTAACATCCCATAATGCAATTCACAACCTTAAATAAACAGAAAAAACTTGTGAATCACAAAATATGGAAACTAATTTACTAATAAGTAATAAACAGAATATTTTGTACATTTTATATATAATACTATAATATAATATGCAGATGTCCAAACCGCTTAAGTTGAAAAAATTATTAATTATTATTTATTAACAATTGTATGAATTATTATTAAATTTGTCATTAATATTAAAGCATGTATTTAAAATGATTTTTTGTTCACATTTAAAATCTTTCCTTAAAATTGTTTATATTATTATTTAATATTAAAACAGTGCAGGGTTTCACACAATCGATTTGTGTTGGCACAACAAGAAGGAATTTAGTTAATTTAATAGTTTTTTACAAATTTAAGAGTTAACTAGTTTGAACAAACAGCAAATGTCATTTTTGAGTCAAATATTACAATATATCAACAATAATAATACCAATTAAAATATATGTACTGAATATTACATCATAAACATGGGGAAATTTAATGGAGATTAAATTGGGTAAATACAACAGGAATAATAATGCTCTTAAAAAATGTCCTTAACATAAAATCATGCATTATTTATTTATTTATTCATTTATTTTTTCATTTTTTTTTCTTGTTTGTTTGTTGGTTAAAAATGAACATTTACTTTAATTAATTTAAAGTATTTGTTAAATTAAAGTTGTAAAATTAAAGTGATTAATTTTCTCATTATATGTCATGTTTTTTACATTTGTTTTTAAAATGTATTATTCATTTATTAATTTAATTTATTATTAATATTATTAGCTTTTTTTGTCTTAGAACTATTAAGAAAGCCCTGTAGCAATAAAAATAAAAAATAAATAAAAAATTAGTTGAAAGAATTTGAACATGGAGAACATGGAGAAATATCTCATGTTTTAAAAATATATATTTATAATTTAGTTAATTATTATTATTATTAGCTTTTTTGTCCGAGAACTTGTGCTCTTAAGAAAGCCCTGTAGCAAAGAAAAAAAATTAGTTGAAAGATTTTAAACATGGAGAAATATCTCATGTTTCTAAAAATATATATTTATCATTTATTTAATTATTAATAATACCTTTACAGAACTTGACCTCTTTAGAAAGCCCTGTAGCGATACCACACATCTCATACATGCCTCTAATCCTCTCCCAGAATGCAAAGCTCCAGAGTGTGAGAGGTGCTTCAACAAAGACTTCTGCACCAAGTGTAAGATCGGCTTTCTGCTCTTCAAGGGCAAATGCTTCAAGAGCTGTCCAGAGGGCACGTTTGCTCAGTCCACAGACTGTGTGGGTAAGAGATTCACTCATGATCAGATGCCATTAAACTCACATTACCGTCCTGAAGGAGATCAGTCATGCTATGCAACAAGATAGGGGCTTAGAGACAATTTCTGCTTGCATTTAGCAGGGTATTTACATGCCATTAACTATCGTACACAGATTTAGGACTGAGTTCAAAGGATTGCTTACCAACAAAGGAGGATTCATTAAAAAACAAAATAAAAAAACAAGACATGTTGGCAAAAACATTGTTAAAACCGTAAGGTTTATTAGGAAGCAAACTCATTTCAACTACAGTATAATATACCAATTTCAGGTCAAGTGATTTTAGAATCCATTTGTTAAATTATTGTTCACAATAATACTCATACACATGAGTTTCTTCTGTTGAACACAAACAAAGATATTTTGAAGAATGTTGACTTCCAAAGTAGTTCTGTTTCCTTCTATGGAATTCAACGGCCAATGCTTTACAACATTCTTCAAAATATCTTATTTTGTATTTACCAGAAAGAACCTCATAAAAATGAAAACAAAAAATTATTCATATACATGAGTTTCTTCTGTTGAATGCAAAGGAAGATATTTTGAAGAATGTTGACTTCCACAGTAGCTGTGTTTCCTTCTATGGAATTCAACGGCCACTGCTTTACAATAGGGCTGCAACTAACAATTGTTTTTAATAATCGATTCATCTGTCGCTTGTTTTTTCGATTAATCAATGAATCGGATAAAAAAAAAAAGAAAGGCATTAATTTCCAACCGCTTATTCACAAAAGCTCATCCCTGAGCTGTAATAATTTTAATAATAATAATAAAATAAAAACTAAGTAGTTTTGTCCTGTTTCCAATCCAATTATCTGAAGATTTTTTAAATCAAGACACATACTAGACACATGAAATAGAAATTATTGGTGCAAAATTAGGTGATTGTTTGCTTAAAACAAGTTAAATTATTTGTGAGTAGGGTAAGAATAATAATGGTAATGAGATATAATCTCAAACAGAAGTTTTACCAGTTCACATAAACGTGTAAGGCAAGCGATCGTGATCTACAACGTGAGATGGTTGTCGCCATGTTTACTTGCGGCCACACGTTTGCATCATTCATAAAAGCAGAACACACAGGGTGTAAATTCACCAGTTCTTCCCAAATACGTGCAAGTAAGTGGCTGGTGAACTTAGAGAAGAGTGGATTCAACTTTATAGTTACTTTCACTATGTGTATCTGACATAAAACACATCAGCAAATTCTGTTTGAATGGATTGTTAGATATCCTTGTGTGTTTTACAAACTGTAAATGTTTTGTTTTACTAGTACGTGTTTGTATTTATAGGTCTAAAACATAAATTAAGTATTAGGCAGTTAAAACGCTGCATAATTGAGATAATATGACACGTTTTCTCAATGGGGTTAAGTTGGTTTTGCTTTTGAAAAAAAAAAAAAACAGAAAAAGAAGCACTTTTCCAACGGTCCCTTACTGAGAGCTCTGCTCAGCGCGAGCTCTCTCTAGCTCAGTGCCAGACACCGCGCTAAAGCTCAGTTTGATTTTCTCAGTTGCCTCTCTAAGGCCGTACTCACACTATGTACAGCGGCCTCAAACCGGGCCAAAGCACGCTTGTCCCCCCTCCCGTCTCGCCCGATGGCCCGTACTCACACTACAATTGGGCACGCTTACGTCATGGATGCTGCGCTGTTCAATGAGAAGCGCTCTCGCTCAGCACAGTGGAGATTTCTCTAGTTATATCGTTAGTTTAGTTGTGTGTTATGCAGTGACATGCAGTCAAATATTTTGCCAAACAGTCCTTAGGGATGCGGTGACACGCAGTCAGATATTTCACTCAACAGATCCGCCACTTTTGGCGCTCATAAACAGTCATAAAGCCCTCGTGCTGCAGGAATGAGGAGGTTTGCTAAAGGTGCGCTGATGTCATGCAGTGAGGGGTTTGCGTTCACTGAACAGTAAGAATGATTAATAAATCCATATGAAACAGTCCCTTAAAGTCACGTCTCGCTTTCAGTTTCGGGCTCAGGCGCGTTTTGCACTCACACTACAAGCGTACCGTGCCAAAGCCCAAGTGAACCGCACCCAGGCCCACCTCTTCCAACCGGGCCAGGGCCGGCCAAGTGAATCGTGCTTGAGCCCGATTCAGCGCACTCACACTTCTCAAACGATCCGGGAAACTGGCCTGGGCACGGTACGGATGGCATAGTGTGAGTAGGCCCTAAGGGTAAATGAGCTAACGCTAACTTGTCATGTTTGTCAAGCTGGATAACGAGTAAAACATCAGCACCAGGGACTTTATGGTCCTCACTTCAAAACGAAACGAAAGTAGGACCCTGCTGTTGAACTCCCTTCCTCCTCATCCATTTCTATGAGGCGCCGAACTCTGCATCAGTGCGTGAGAGAGATCGTGTTCACTCTGCTCCGCACTGAACTAAAGTGTTTTATGTATTAATTATTATCAATTATCGATTATGAAATTCATTGCCAATGCTTTTAGTAATCAATTTTTATTTATTTGATCGATTCGTTGTTGCAGCCCTACTTTACAACATTCTTCAAATTATCTTCTTTTGTATTCAACAGAAAGAAATACTCATAAAAAATGTATTCACACCTGAGTTTCTTCTGTTGAAAACAAAGGAAGATATTTTGAAGAATGTTGAAAAACAGTAACCATTGACATCCACAGTAGTTGTTTTTCTCACTATGGAATTCAGCGACCACTGGTTTACAACCTTCTTCAAAATATCTACTTTTGTATTCAACAGAAAGAGAAAGTCATAAATGTTTGAAAACTGAAAACAGGGTATGTTGGTCTGCTCTGTTTGTCCTCCAGAAGGCTGTGTGTTCAGTGTTTTTGGTTTCTGGAGTGAATGGAGCTCATGTCAGCACAACGGCCTGAGCTGTGGAGTCACATGGGGCCTTCAGAGCAGGACCCGAGAGCTGTCCAGAAACACACCTGAGGAGAAGGAAACCCTGTGTCCACCTCAAACCGAGAGCAGAAAGTGCCAGATGAAGAGACGGTGTCGCAAAGGTGAAGAATAAAGTACAGTTGCAGAATGTAATTCAGTAGTGGGAACAACATGAACAGAAAGCCATATTATAAAACACATTTCTGCAATCGTTACTCAAAGCAGCTACATTTTACAAGAACACCCAAAATCTATATCATTTCTATTTCCACTTGAAGTCTGAATGAAATGAAAATCAGTGTTGCCAGATATAGCTGACTTTTTCCAGCCAAAAAGCTGTTCAAAACCCGCTCAAACGCACAAAAAAAAACACCCACACTCTAAAAAGTATTGTTTAGACAAAATTAAAAAAATAACGCAACAGTTTGCATTAATATATTGAAGTTACGACAACATCTAACAAAATAAAGTTCAGACAACAAATTTTATTATGTTAGCCAAATATTTTCCTCTTCAATCAGAGGCATTTTTACATAGCAAAAACCTCAAATCTATAAGTTGAGTACTCAAAAAATGTTGTTTCAATTAGTGTTTTATTTTAAAATTGAAAACAAATCCAGTGTTATGTACTTAATTACATGCACATTTTCAAGTTTACAACCCCAAAGAAATTAAGTAGCCAAAATTGTTAAATTTTTTTGTTTGTTTTCAAATTTACTGTTCATGCTTGTAAGAAATACATTTAACAGCAACATTTTTGTTTTTCATTAGTTTTTTATTTGTATTAAACCACAATTTTCATTGTTTTACAAAACAAAAACATTTACTGTCTCATATTTTCAGTGTAAAAAAATAACAAAAAACATTAGTGTGTGGACTTAAAAATACAAAACAACTCATTAGTGTGCATTATCAACCCAATATTTTTGGGTTGCTACAAGTAAATACTCTTTTAAAGCAACTGACAGATATATTTACCTTTAAATTAGCTGCATTTTTAAATTGATGTAATTGTCAATATTTTCCTGTTTTGAAAACTTAATAAAATTATTCTGGCAACTTAAAAGTTTTAATCTAATCAGCATTTTAGGATTTTTAAGTTACAATAATGTATTGAACTAAGTAGTGGTAACAGACCTCTTAAGTTATTTTTTAGAGTGCAAAATATTAGATTAACCTTTTAATTTATTGAAATCAAATTATCCAGGTTACGTTAACTGTGATAATTTTTTAACTATACAGCAACCATCACCAGCAGATACAAAACCACAACATAACCGGATAACATTGAAACACTGCCCCCCTCTTACCCACACTGCACTTATTGTTGTGTAGATTACACTACCTATTAGACTATGTTTTACTTTCGAAATGGGGTTTAGATTCATCCCATTTGGCATTTTAAATTCTTTTGAACACATTTAGGCTCTGCTTGTCGATCAGACAACACTTTTGTGTTTGTTTTTGCTGTCAGCTGCAGAAAACATGATTAATAAAAGTCTCATAATAAACCGCTGTGAGTTAACTGCAAGCGCTGCGTGATGCACGTGCACGCGAAGGGGAGTCAGATTTTTGCAGGGTGTCAGATTTTGATACAACTTTCCTTCACCTCCATTTGCAGGTGGGCCCACTCGATTTGCGCGGTCACTGCTAAACACTGGTCACTACTAAATGAATGGAGTAGGAGCACGCAGTTACGTTTTGTGTAATAAGCTGCATATAAAATTTACGTTTCAAAGCCACCCAAATTTTGTCAACCCACCAATGCCATTTTTTACCCACACAATCAAATTCAAAACCACCCAATCTAGCAAAATTGTCTCTTTCTTTTATTTATATACACAGTTGAAGTCAGAATTATCAGCCCCCTGAAGTATTAGCCCCCCTGTTTATGTTTCCCCCAATTTCTGTTCAATGGAGACAACACATTTCTACATAATAGTTTTAATAACTCATTTCTATTAACTGATTTATTTTATCTTTGCCATGATGACAGTAAATAATATGTGACTACATATTTTTCAAGACAAAAAAACTAAATTCTAATCTCTAAATTCCCTATTTTCAGCCAAAAGAAAGAAAATAAAATATACTTTCTTAACTTACTCCCTTGTCCACAAAAAAAAAAAAAAAAAATCAATTAAAGAAGGTACAAAAGAAAATGGCGTCAAGCTCCCTTCTTACTATGTACAAATATTTACAATCTGCAAACAAATCCAAAAAGGGGCAAAACAGCAGAGTAGTCATTTAACAGGCATGGGTCAGATTTTCAATGTCAACAAAGCAAGAACTAAAGCACTACATACTTTCACAGATCTTTCTCAAACACTTAGACAAACTCCAATTCGACAAATCTAACAAACACTCAATTTCTTTCTATATTCCTAAACACACCACTACCAACCACAAGTGAGCTCAAACAGCTAAACATGAAGTGACAGAGGAAGAATTTATAGGCAGCCAGGAGTCAGCTGACTAAGCAGGGTGTGGCATTAATTGGACCAGGGGCAGGACCAAACAAAGGAGCAAGCAGCTGCTTTTTGCAGAGAGACACAGACCACTTCCAAAAAATAAAAAATAAAAAGAGCAGTATTAATGTCACATAACCAGCGATCGCTACCCAGAGATTGCTGGTTCTCACAACAAACCATGGACTACACTTCTGCCTTTTCCTGGACTACATATTCATACATGCACTTCTCCCAGACACCCATGCTCACACATTACACGATTACGATTCTGGACTGCCTGCATATTCCCGTTTGTACCTGTATGACCACTGCTTGCCTGACGCTGAATAAACCTGCATATTGGATCTTACCTCCTGTTGTCTCTGTCACTCCTCCCCGTCGTTACAATTAATACATAAAGGGAAATAACACTGATATACAGCTTAAAGTGACATGTAAAGGCTTAACTTTAAGGCAGGTTAGGGTAATTAGGCAAATTATTGTATAATGATGGTTCGTTCTGTAGATTATCAAAAAAATATATAGCTTAAAGGGGTTAATAATATTGACCTTAAAAGGTTTTTTTTTTATTATTAAAAACTGATTTTATTCTTACCGAAATAAAACAAAACAGACTTTCTCCGGAAGAAAACATATTATCAGACATACTGTGAAAATTTCCTTGCTCTGTGCATCATTTTGGAAATATTTAAAAAAGAAAAAAAATCAAAGGGTGGCTAATAATGCTGATTGCAACTGTATACAGGGTACCCCTGTATTATAGTATAGTAACTGTATTAAAGGGTTAATTAGGCAAATTAAGGTAATTAGGCAAGTGAAGGTAATTAGGCAAGGTGGTGGTACTGCCTTCTAGTTACTGCATCTGAATTTAAATGTACTTGACCGTTAGAAAAGTATGTTCTATATGAATGTGAGTCAATGGCGCCCCCAGAAAATTTTCTTATCTTGGGGTCTTGGGGAGGCACACAAAAAAAATAATAAATTCAAAATAATGTTATATTTTTGTTTCTGGTATATGAAATTATGTGGATTAAATTAATTCAATTAATTACTCTTGAAAGATTGCAGTTTATTCCTTGAAATAATTCATCAAGTAAATGTGCAAAGCAAATAAAAATCAATATTTAGTTTAAAAACACTTTTCAGGTATATATATATATATATATATATATATAGATAGATATATAGATATATATATATATACAGTTGAAGTCAGAATTATTTGCCCCCCTGAATTATTAGCCCCCCCCCCCTTATTTTTTCAACACATTTCTAAACAATAGTTTTATTAACTCATTTCTAACAACTGATTTATTTTATCATGATGACAGTAAATAATATGTGACTAGATATTTTTCAAGAAACTTCTTTACACCTGAAAGTGACATTTAGAGGCTTAACTAGGTTATTTAGGTTAACTAGGCTGTTTAGGGTAATTAGGCAAGTTATTGTATAATGATGGTTTGTTCTGTAGACTATCGAAAAGAGAAATAGCTCAAGGGGGCTTATTATTTTGTCCTTAAAATGGTGTTTAAAATTAAAAAAAAAATGCTTTTATTCTAGTTGAAAAAACAAATAAGACTTTCTACAGAAGAATAAATATTATCGGACATACTGTGAAAATTTCCTTGTTCTGTTAAACATCATTTGGGAAATATTCAAAAAAGAAAAAAAATCAAAGGAGGCTAATAATTCTGACTTCAACTGTAAACGAAAATAACTTTTCAGTTATTATTCACATACTTTTATTGTACAGCATACAGTATATGGTATGTCTAAAATTAATGAAGATCAATGAATTAATTAATACAACAAACAGATAAACAAACTGAACAAAAGGCATTACTATATACAATCAAACTCACTTTACAGACTCTATAATAATATCATTTATCCATATTCCTTTTTGAGCCACAATTTAATTATTATAGCTACTTCTATTGATGTACATTAAGGTAAATATTTAATTGCCATTGTTGTCTATTGAAGTTGTGTGCATGCTGTCAGTAAATATCGGAGAGGGAGAGGGGCAGTGAATCAGCTATGTCAGTGGCACCAATCAATCCACAATAATTTAGTGGCTGCTATTTATTTATTTATTGCAACATTGTGAATTTACGCAAGTACATTTAAATTAATAATATCAACAGTAAAAATCATAATGGGGTGGCCAGAGTTTACACTTGGGGGTGCCGCTTATGTGAGCAGTATGAATTAAACTCTGAAGTACATCTGAAGTACATCTGACTACATCCGCCATTTTGTCATTATCACATGACCTACAGTTGCCAGTTGTGTCGCTTCACTCCCATTTATGAATTCTTTCCAGGTGCATCATGTGATAGCACAGCGTGCATCGGATGCGCACTTCAGAATCTCGCTGAAAGTAGTAGGCCATGCGGGTAGTTTTCCCATACAGATTTTCGAATTCTATGAATTCGGACATACTAATCTGCTCGCATACTGTTTTTAGCGGACTATATAGTATGGAAGTGTGCGATTTTGGACGCAGCCATTGTATAACAGTGGCTTGTTCTGCAGACAATCAAAACAAATATTGCTTAAGGGGGCTAATAATATTGAACATAACATGTTTTTATTATTAATCAAAACTCTTTTTACTCTAGCTGAAATAAAACAAATCAGACTTTCTCCATTAGAAAAAATATTATCGGAAATACTGTGAAAAATTTCTTGCTCTGTTAAACATCATTTCGAAAACATTTTAAACAGAAAAACAAAATCACATATGGGCGAATAATTTTGACTTCAACTGTGTATTAGCAAATATTAGTCCTCTGAAATACAATAACAAGTATTTGTCCTCCACCTCAGATGTTCTCCATCAGCACCATTGTGGTTAATCTCTGAAGCTGACACCTCAAAGCCTTCCTCATGGTGTGACCAATGAGAACCCTCTGAATTAATTTAGTCCTAGGATGTCCTCAAGATTAACACAAGATCGTTCCCTTTCTTCTCGAGTTTCCCTTCTTCAAATGTAACCCCCAAAAGCTAATGAAAGTCAGACGGTGCATCTCAGACCGGAAGATCTGCCAATGTTCTCTGTTATGACCCACACTCACCTGCCCAAATCATAACGCACAAAAACCTCTGATCTTAACATGGATTTATGTTGCTTTTGGGATTACACCAGATGATTCAGAGCTGTAAATATTGACTTTTAGTGCCGTGTATGCTCAAAAGCGGAGAAAATGAAAACGTTCGGAAGCTTTAATCACAGCAGGGAAAAAAGCATGGCAGAGATCTATTGAATGAGAAAACAAAAACAAGGGAAAACACATGAAGAAAGTGATGTTCTTGGTGTTTCCCAAAGCTCAGACCCCATTCTTTACGCCATAATGACTGTTTACTCCAGTTTAATAGAGACCCTTATTATGTTCGCTTTAAAAACACAAACATGGATCATGATTTGGATGACGCTAATAATGAATAAATGATGAATAAATACTCTTAAGTGCCCACTTTGTTTGCTCTGCTTTTGCCTATAATATTTTTTCATCTCTTTTCCGAGGAAGACAGTACATACCACCCTGAAGCTTCTCTGTTGTTGATTTTGAGTCTTAAAGTCGAAGCAGACATGAACATTTGGAGAACTCTAAGGAACTCAATGCCACGATTCTCAGGTTATGAGCTGTGGGCATAAGTTTTTATTCAAAGATGATAAATAAATGCATCCTATAGATTTCAGAATGTAGGATTCAAAGTACAACATTTTTTTGTTCATTAAAATATGCAAAAACCACTAGAACAGTGTTAAATATTTTGCTGACTTATGGACTTACCTTATCCCGAATGTTTCGGAGAAATGTTAAAATCCAGAGAAATAAGCTATTTAAGCTTGTCACGTAGACCGTGTCCTCCTTTATCTCCATTCTAATGACGTCACACACCCTGATATCCTCTGATTAGGCTTTATAGGAAACAGGTATACACCAAATACACTTTAATATGTTGTATTTTTTAATAGTTAAAATATTATAAGTGATCAAACTCATTCCAAACTAGGTCCAAAGCACTCAAAAATTAAGTGAAAAAGCCTTTATTGACATGACTATTGCGTTGAAAACCAGCACTATTTTTGGCAAAACTTGCCTTCATTTGATTGACCACAGCAATTTCAATTTTCAAGAGTTCACACTTAGCAGATTATTGACTATAAAGCTTGTTTGGCATGCTGTCCTGGGAGAGAGCCTTGAGCTCATAAGATCCTGGAGCCCGGGGCTCCCTTCCATTTGCAAGGCGAGAGGGGAGTTTGAGCTCAGGTAGATCTTGAGAACTCCCCTGCTGTAGTAGCTGATGGACAGATAGTGATTGCTCTTAGGAGATAGCTATTTACTAGGAGCATGTCTATGGTGCCGATTTGGATTAGTCAATCAACTTAAGGCCCCGTTTACACTAATGCATTTTCGTTTTAAAACGCATAAGTTTTGCTACGGTTACGCCATCCGTCCACACTACGCCGGAGTTTTTGAGCGCCGAAAACGGAGTGTTTTGGAAACGCTGGAGAGGCCGTTTTCCTTCCAAAACGCTGCTGCTCTGTCTCAGTGTGGATGAGCAAAAAACGGAGACATCTGAAAACGGAGGCGGGGCTGCCGTCATTCGCCTATCTGATTGGGGCTTTTCCTCAATATTAAGTAGCCTACACACACAGTTCAGTCCTGCATCCTCTCCTTGTAAGTTTAGACTTCGCAAGTTTGATCAAGGCTGCAGTCTCCCCCTCCTCAGTTTGACATGGATAACAGACTACCGAGGACACGGGTAAATCTTCAATGGGAACAATGTACTTTATAACTTCATTCACATCACCCTGGCTACGTTGTTTCACTTTCTCAACAATAAAATGAAAACATGATTTAAGGAACTGCCTTTTTTCATTTTAATATTAGCAACTTAACAGACAGCAGAAATGTTGAGGCGTCGTGCTGCATATATGAGCGTCATCTTCACTGTGTGGATATTTATAACAAAACGGAACCTATAACAACTGCCTCCTTTCAATTTAAGTGAAAATACGAAACATACCCTCTCTTCTGCTGAATATCAGTTTTGATAATCGATAATGGCCATTATAAAAGTATAACACAATAGGTTTATACATTATAGAGATAAAAGCGATCAGTCAATATACAGAATAGGCTACGTGGTTACATTAATCATTAACTTATCTTTGCGCTCAGCCAAAACATGTTACCTGAGAACAAGTAATAGATTCCAATGACCAAAGTCAGGGAATCTGTCGTTAGATAAAGACAACAAGATGAATAAAATGTCACGTTTAATAAATATAGTGAGATTAGATCCAGCGGAAGATGCTTGATGAGCAGTCCGACCAGCACAGCTCTCATCTGGGTAGATGGGCTGCAGCGCTTGCCCGAGAGTGTGTGTGTGTGGTCACGTGATGTGCGTTTTCAGCATTTTGGTGTGGACGGAGAGCTGTTCAGAAACGCTGGGTAAAACGCAAGTGTGGACGCGGATCGTTTTCATTCTAAAACGCCGTTTTAAAACTAAAACGCACTAGTGTAAGCGGGGCCTAAGTTGCATGTTTTTGGACGGTGGGAGGAGGAACCTAGAGGAAACCCACGTGAGCACAGGGAGAACTTGTAAACTCCACACAGAAACGTCGGCTGGGTTGGTAAGGACTAGAACCAGTGACGTTCTTGCTGTGAGGCAACAGTGCTAACCACTGGGCCACCGTGCCATCCATCTAGGAAAGGAGGAGTAGAGGTGGAAGGGGAGATTCTTCAAAACAAAGATGCTGTTAAATGGAACTTAGGGTATTTATAGTGACCCAGTAATTGTCTGATTGGTGAATCATACTTTGAATAATGCGGGGCCGGCTGCAAGCAATCATAAGCACATGATCCTCTCAAAATTAGTTTATAAATAAACTTCACTAATGCAACCAATCAATACAACAAATCATAAACAGTAGTCCTGTCAATAAAAGCTTTTTAACATTTTGACGTACTTTTCGAGCACCTTGGACTTGCAATTTCTTGTGTATCTTTATGGATTCCTTATCCGTAGAGCACTGACACATCAATTACCCCTGCACTGTAAAAAGCCATTAATTACTTTACTTTAAAACACCCATTCAAGTAAACCCATTCAACAAGTTGTTTTTACTTCACTTTTATAATTATGCACATTGTTTGTTTACGTAATTATAAGGCAATGTGATTACTCTCTTTTATAAGTAAAGTCAACTAATCGCTTTTTTTTTTTCAAAAGTGAGAAGCACTTTATTGTTTGATTCTGGATCAGTTATTAATGCTTTACATCAGTAATAAAGAACATAAATCTTTTCACTGCCTACATAACTTGCTGTCTTATATGTTGTTGTTCTTCTGACAGATAAAAGAAAAAATGAAAAGAGACAGGAGAGAAGAAATGCACAGAAAAAGCTGAAGCTCTACGGGAACAGAACCATAACAAATCCTCCTCAGGGGAATTTAAATTTCCGCAGTTTTGTTCCTCAATAATATATGTAAACATTTTTAAAACATATTTTTGTATTGCTATTTGAATTGTAATATTGCTTTTTTAATAATCTGACATGTGGCAAGCAACATCTTTTTTTAATGCAAGTGTAAAAAGTATTGTATTAGGTTTATTTACATGAAAATGGAACATCGTAACCTGTATTTATACACTGTTAACAATTCCCTGTAGAATCTACAGTAACTTACCAGTAGTAGCAGTTCACCAGTAATTTACTGTCAATCAATTACAGCAAAATACTGTATTTACATTTACAGCATCACTTATCTTGCCGTACTTGTATTTCCAGTATTTTATGTATTTACTGTAAAATACACAATAATTTTCACAATGCAAATTTAAAATACAGTAACAAACTGGAAAACTGTCTTACAGTAAAATTCAGATCATATTAAATTTCAATTCACCTGTAACTTACTGTAACTCTATTACAGAAAAAAATACAGTATTCACATTTACAGCACCAAATATCTTGCCGTATATCTAATTACAGTATTTTATGTATTTACTGTAAAATATACAGTCATTTTCACAATATAACTATAAAGTACAGTAACACACTGCATAACTGTCCTTCAGTAAAATTAAATTCAGATTACATTTCAGTTTACCAGTAACTTACTGTAAATCAATTACAGCAATAAATACTGTATTCACATTTACAGCACCATTTATTTTGATGTATATGTATTTACAGTATTTTATGTATTTACTTTTCACAATGCAGCAGTTCGTAATAAAATTAACTGTTAACAATTTCTTGTAAAATCTACAGTAACTTACTGGCCGCAGTTCACCAGTAACATGCTGTAAATCAATTACAGCAAAATACTGTATTTACATTTACAGCATCAATCATCTTGCTGTATATACATTTACAGTATTATATGTCTTCACAGTAAAATATACAGTTGTTTTTAAAAAAGCATCTTTAAAATACAGTAACAGGCTGTATAAGTGTCCTACAGTAAAATCCACGACATATTACATTTCAGTTCACCAGTAACTTACTGTACATCAATTACAGCAAAAAAAAATAAAAAAATACTGTATTAACATTTACAGCATTATTTATTTTGCTGTATATTGATATATATTTACTGTAAAATATAGTTATTTTCACTATAAAACTTTAAAATAAAGTAACACACTGCATAACTGTCCTTCAGAAAAATTCAATTCATATTACATTTTACTTCCCCAGCAACTTACTGTATAGTAGGTCGCACACCAGAAGCGCCGCAACACGGCGCGCACATGACTGTTTAAGGTTTCACACACCAGACATGCACATTCACACGATATTTAACATGGAACTAACTAGATGGCGCTCTGTTGCGCGGCTGAAATATGAACAGCGTCCTGAGTCATTGCTGGCCGCCGCCGACAGCCGCCAACTTGTGGCACCAGTGTGCGTACCCTGATAGAAACCTATGTTTAGAATTCTATAATGCATGGCGCTGCGTGGCACCAAGTGGTGCGTCGCCGAGCGGCGCTTCTGGTGTGAGACCTGCTTAAGTCTATTAGAGAAAAACTACTGTATTCACATTTACAGCACCATTTATCTTGCCGTATATGTATTTACAGTATTTTATATATTTACTGTAAAATACACACTCATTTTCACAATGCAACTTTAAAATACAGTAACACACTGCATAACTGTCCTACAGTAAAATTCAATTCATATTACATTTCAGTCCACCAGTAACTTACTGTAAATCAATTACAGCAAAAAGCAAACATACTGTATTTACACTTACAGCACCATTTATCTTGCTGTATATTACTATATATTTGTTGTAAAATATACAGTAATTTTCACAATGCAACTATAAAATACAGGAACATACTGCATAACTATCCTACAGTAAAATACAGTTCATAATACAGTTAAATACTGTGTAATTTACAAAAGATGTTAACAATGTATTGCATTGACAAATTGGGAGCGTTTTACCCAACACTAAAGCATTTCTTTCACCCTCCTCGGCACAGTGTGGTTTAACAAACACAAGGACCATGTTGGATTTTGTCACTGTACATTTCCACCTGATGAATAACAGACGGGCAGCTTCATGTGGTTTGGTTTGTATCTCTGCTGCTTTTTTGTACTCTACATGCCTCAAGCTCTTCTGTGCTTTCCAACAACATACTATCCTTGTTTTTGCACTTCTTCAATTGTATTGAAGCAAAAACAAGACACAGAACAATGTAATATCCATCATCCTGCACACCATTTATTCATATTTAGTGAATCTGAGCCATGTGATTGACTGTTGCGATATCATGTGACCAATTGAGTGGCCTAAATGAGATTAATAAATATTTTTATATATGAGTTAACATGCCAATAGTCAGCATACTTTGTCTAAAGCTGAAATTAAAGAGAGCTGCATTATTTTCTTAGAGCCTCAACTGTACAGTTAAACCAGACTGTTGTTTTGTTTGTTTTTTTCTCAGTAACTGATTATCGTCCCCTTGTGAAAACTGAAATGTTCCACTTTTGATTTGAGATGGATGGGAATGAGCTGATTTGAATGTGATTTATTTGTGCTCTCCTCCGCAGGACTCTTGTGGGCGGCTGAATTGTATTTACTGGAAATATCACAGTTTTGCTGTCTAGAGCAATCAGCCTCGAAGGAATATTGGCTTTTTTGTTAAGATGAGAAGTTATGAAAATGCACTTACTCTAAGAAATGCTGGGTTATTTAAGTCAAGTTGATTTATAAACTAATTTCAAGAGGATCAAGTGCTTATGATTGCTGCAACTGGTCCTGCATTATTCAACTTATGATTCACCAAACGATTCCTAAGCCACTATAGACCTTTTTCATGGCTGCTGCATGGAGGGCGCCAATAGCGACCAGCTCTTCCGCTAGAATGCTAAAAACTTCAGTTTACAGCGTGTACAACTGGTAATTTGCGGTCCGAAAATGGGTTTCAATAACGTTTTTAATGGATAACAGAGTTTTTTGTGACAAACAACTTAGAAATGTGTCTGTTAAAGCCGTTATAATCTGTCACATGTGGTTCAAGCGCGTCAGAAATACGAGAAAAATGTTCTCCTAGTTCACGTGTCTGCTGTCAGAAATACAGTGTGTGTGTGCGTTCCCGGCCTGTCAGCTGTTAGCTCAGCGACTCTTTAACACACACACACACACACACACACACAGAAAGAGAGAGAGAGAGAGAGAGAGAGAGCAAACCAGGTTACTGGCATGAAACTTAACAGGTATGAAAGTCGTGCAATTTACAAAAATGACCAATAAAAGTCTGTTATTGATCCTCTGCTGGCTGATTTGCTGTTCATTCTAATCGCGAGCCGTTTGTGTTTTATTTCGTGTGTTGTTTTTACCACGGTTTGTGTTTTTCTGTCATTTCGAAATGACACTAGCCTATATTTTAACTTTGTCACAGTTATTAAATTAGTGTGTCAGTGGGACAGTACAGGCTACGTGTGTGTGTCAAACATTTTGGTGAATTACATTTGTTTGGGCTGGTTATATATTTGAAATAAAGAGAAAATGTTGACTTTAGCGATGACAAGGCTTCATTTAAACTGCAGAAGATGCCGTCTGACAACAAAGGGAAAATGCCTCACAGCAGCTGTTTTCCATCACTTTAGACGCCATTTCTTTAAATGATCAGTCCAGAAGATGGTGCTGATGGACAGCAGTATTAGTTCAAAGAGGATAAAAGCAGGTAACATAGATTAAAACTATCGTTTCAAAGCTGTCCAAATGTGACTGTTTACACACATCAGCTGCCGACCGGAAGTGCTTCGCATTCTCCTTGCGCATACACGCAAAGCATAATGGGTAATTTTGCGTTCCAAGAACAAGGTCTATAAATACCCTAAGTTCCATATAACAGCCATCTTCATTTTGAGGAGTCTCCCTTTCCACCCCTACTCCTACTCCTAATGAGTGGCACGGTGGCCCAGTGGTTAGCACTGTTGCCTCACAGCAAGAACATCCCTGGTTATAGTCCTTACCAAGCCAGTCGACGTTTCTGTGCACATTCGATGTTTACACATTCGACGAATGTTTACACATTCTCCTCGTGCTCACGTGGGGTTCCCTGGGTTCCCCGGTTTTCTCCAACCACCCAAAAACATGCAACTTAAGATAATTGACTAATCCAAATCGCCACCATAGATATGCTACTAGTAAGTAGTTATCTCTTAAGAGCAATCACTATCTGTTCATTAGCTACTTCAGCAGGGGAGTTCTCGAGCTCTACCTGAGCTCAAACTCCCCTTTCAGCTTACAAACAGAAGGGAGCCCCGGGCTCGAGGATCTTATGAGCTCAGGGCTCTCTCCCGGGACAGCATGCCAAACAAGCTTTATAACCAATAATCAGCTAAGTGTGAACTCTTGAAACCCAAATTGGGTAAAATATGGACTAACCCAAACAAAGGGTTTTATTCATTTCATAAAAAGAATAACCCAACAGTTGGGTGAGTCCTTATTACACACAAAATTGAGTTGAAATAAACTTGAAATAAAATTTTATTATTTTTTTTTACTGTAAAAAGCAATTAGTTGATTTTACTTTTGAAAAAAGTGAGTACATCTGTGAGGTGGCACGGTGGCTCAGTGGTTAGTACTGTTTGCATGTTCTCCTCAGGTTGCCGTGGGTTTTCTCCAGGTGCTCCGGTTTCCCCCACAGTTCAAAGACATGCGCTGTAAATTGGAATTGGATTAATTAAACTGGCCATATGTGTGTGTGAATGAGTGTGTATGGGTGTTTTTCAGTAGTGGGTTGTGGCTGGAAGGGCATCCACTTCCTAAAACACGTGCTGGAATAGTTGGCTGCCGTGACCCCTGTTAAAAAAGGGAGGAAAATGAATGAATAAGTACATCCGTTGCCTTAAGTTTTTACTAATAATTTAATTTAATGAACTTAATATTTTACTGCATAATTATAAAAATTAAGTTGTCAACTCACTTTTTAAAGTAAAATCACCTGCTTTTTA